ATAAAAAATAAATTACTAAAATTTTAGATAAATACAATAGATAAAGCTTATATATAAATAAATTTTTTTATATACATATATTTATACATTAATTAAATCTTAAATTTATAATTAAAAACATAAATAATTTCATCATTAAATTATCTTATTGATTCTAATAGTTTAAATAATTTTATGATAATTACTTTTAATTAAAAATAAAATACTTTAAATTCAAATTGTATAAAGTGCCAATGAAATATGATATAAGACAAAAAAAAAAAATCCCTTATTTTTGCAACTAAAATTAAAAAATATATATATTGCTGATGACCATGTGCAATGTACAATATTACCGAGTAAATTAGCTTTTCTTTTTTTTTTTTTAATAAGGAAGGGGCAGCAGGAAAAACAGGTGGGCCTGTATAAAAAAGAAAAAAAAAGGAAAAAGGAAAAAAAAGGGGTAGGGCAGTAGTTGTCCGGGAGGGGCCCGTTTGATTTTGCTGACCAAATTAAGCATCAATCAACGCCGTATATTTATATTCTTCATCAACCCCCAACCACCTCCTATCCCTTTCACATGTCATCACATCAGCAAAGGTTAAGCATTGAAATGATCCACAAAGTAGTAATATGATTCAAGAACAATGAAGAAATGATATGATACAAGAAGGATGTAAATCAATTTTTTTTTTTAATGTAAACTTGAAATAATGGTGATCATATTTTGCGTATAGAATTTGGCAAGAGAACCCCACAACACAAGGATCCAATGATCATACACCTTCTTGGTATACATCTAGAGAGTTAAACATACGAATTCCAAATCATGAGGGAATCAAAGAACTCTGCAAACAGACCTCCAAATGGCATAAAATTATTCTGGGGTCGAATTTTTTTGGTGAAAGATCACATTTTTAAGAATCCTACGCATATCCATTTGCCACTTTTCTTTCACTTTTATCGTACTCATTGATTTATGCTCTGAGAAAGCAAAGCCAACACCCAATACTCTTCATGAATCTTGGTCCAGCTTCTTGACTCTCTGCTCTTTCCCTTTGCATTTAATCTTATTGAAAGTCGCATTTCTATCTCAGAGGAGAAAAGGGCAAAGCTCAAACCAAAGGAGAGTCTGACGGTGGGGATGTTTTCCTAAATTGGATGTGTTGTCTTTGATTTGGGTGATTGCTTCAGTAATCTCTCCTCTCTCCATTAATTTGATTTTTTATTAGTGGGATTTGATTATCTTGATAATGTTATCATGTTGTAATTGGAGTGCATATTGTACCATTCTTAGTGGGTATATCTAGTGCTTTCACTGCTTGAAGCCACTAAGAGATTGGTCAACCTGGGTTCAACACGCATAGGTAAGATGTGTTTTCGTTGTGGGTTTCCTTTCTTCTACATTCGTTTGTTAGTCTGGAAAAGCTTGAGATTTCACTTTCATCCATCCTAATTCCCAATTCCCAATTCCCAATTCCCAATTCCCAAGTTCCAATTTTTTGAGCTTTTATTTTTGGAAGTAATTTTGCAAAATCTTGGTTCCACATACCCCCAAAAAAAAAAAAGACAGTTGAAATTGAAATCTATCTTCACTTTCTTTGTCTTCTGTACCTTCCTTGAGTGGACCAAAAAACCAACCTTCTATTTTATCTGGGACTGCTCAGATCTTCATTCTCATTCTCAGAGTAGTACAGATTTTCTTTGTAAACAGGAAAAGGGAATCCAGAATCTTTATCAAAAAAAAGAAAAAAGAAAAAGAAAGAGGGAATCCAGAATCTGATGAAATGAGAAAAGCCCACACGCTAAAACTTGTTCTTCCTCTGGCTTCTGCTGGCTCTTTGCTCATTCTTGTGCTTGTGATCTTCTTTTGCTGCAAGAGAAGAGCAAGAAATGAGTTGCATGACGTAGAGAGCAAAGAGCAGAAGCAGGTGGAGGAATCAGAGCTGGAAGCTTTGGCTACTTTCAGTGGTGGCCAAGACCTCACAATTTGTGACATTCTTGAGGCTCCTGGTGAGGTGATAGGAAAATCCAACTATGGCACCTTGTACAAGGCCTCGTTGCAGAGGAGCAGCATGGTGAGGCTACTCAGGTTTTTGAGGCCGGTGTGTACCATTGGAGGTGAAGAATTTGATGATACCATTCAGCTCTTGGGATGCATCAGGCACCCAAATTTGGTTCCTCTTCTGGGATTTTATGCAGGGCCAAGAGGGGAAAAGCTTCTCATACATCCCTTTTATAGACGTGGTGATCTGGCTCAGTTCATTAGAGGTGTGTTTCTTGTCTTCTGGTCGTTTCATTTTCTGTTTGGTTTAAGAGAAATTTCCATTGTTTTGGGTTTTTCGTTTTTCTTGTTCATCTGACTTTAAATTAAGTACTTTGCTTTGTTGATTTTATCTCCTCAGATTTTGAACCTGAAGATTCATTTGTTCTTTTCAGAAATATCAAACAGAAATTTGTTGAATTCATTCCTTTGGTCAAATGCATAAATCAAATGAGATTTCTCATATTCTAG